CACACACACACACACACACACACACACACACACACACACACACACACGCTCACACACACAAAAAGGAAAATCCTTCAGATCACCTTGGTAGTTCTGCCCAGCTGTGTTTTTTCTCTAAACTCAATACCCGGAGCCTCCCTGTTTATGGTAGCAAATGATGGCTCCTGCCTCAGAAAAATACTAGCTATCAGATTCAGGAAGAATAGGATTTTTGTTGGCTGAGATACACAGGGGCATCTGGGGCCATGTGGGTTTCCCTGCTAAAGAGAAAGAGGGCTCTTTGTTGCATTTGGGCTACTGATTACCCCATCACATAGCTTCCTGGTTTACAGGAGAAAGGGCTACATTCTGTTGTCTTCACTGTGACCAACCCTCCGCTCGCCCATTCTTTGATGAGCAAGTGGCAATAAACACATTTGTGAAGCCGTGCCTGGGAATTTATAAAGGCCGGAATAAAAAAACCATTTTGTTATAAAAATGGCAATGCTGCGTTTGAGCTACCATTTTCAGAGTTTAATAATCCCGGGGGTGGTGGGCTTTTTATATCCGGTAATCTCAGAAGAACCAGGTGTCAGGCTGAATTATCCATCTTACAAAAAAAAAAAAAAAAAAAACCTTGTGGCTGTAAAACAGCTCCAGATTGCTTCCTCTGCATGCTGGAGGAGCTGACAGGGCCCCAGATGGAGCTGTTTCTCAGCAAGCTGTCAGGTGATCCATCCATCAGAAAAGCCATAGCACCCAGCTGAGTTGCCTAGTGCTGCCAAGATTTGTATTGGGTCAGGTGGGAGAGGCCAGGGTCTGATGAATCCAGAAACACAAAGGTCAGGGGTGTCTAGGCCGAGAGGAAAGCTACGTGCTCACACTTAACTTCCCAAGGTGATATTTAGCATTGTTTTACACCGACTTGACAGTTCTTCCGTCTGCTTTCTTTCATATGGATTCCGTGACATTGATACTGAGAGGTTGTTTAGTATGGCTTTTGAGAAAACCAAAGCACAAAGCAGCATTAGACTAAAGCTGCTCAGAACATGCCAAATTATTGTCAGCAAGCCAAGAAGGCTTTTCATTCACAGACCCCAAGACGGTGTGATGAGGTCACTGGAATTGGCAAAGCTTAAGAATTGGAAGTGAACACACAGACCTAAAAAAACATCACCCCCGAGGGTTGATGCCTTCCACATTAGCCTTACCTCATCTTGGAAACTGCCATCCATTCTAAAAGGTAAAACGGTGACATAATATGTGAGTTTATATCTTCCAACCCTGATGAAATACTGAGAGTGATTCAGACTAAGAGGCTGCAAGCAATCAGAGAATACCAATACGTAAGGGTCAACGAAAAGCTATGCCGCTTTTGTTAAAAGCACAGGAAGTGTCTTTAAAGGTTTAAAAGAGAAAAGACAGAGAAGACTAACAGGACTTTCTTGTTACTGCAATGCCTGCCACACCATTGGCAATATGTTAAACAACCTCTTCCTTTTTTTTTTTTTTTTTAAGAAAAAGAAAAGGGAAAAGATGTCTGTCTTTACTCTTATATGGTAACTCTTCCCTTCCCACCTCTTTTCTAGTGATAAACTGATAAGACTCGTTCCCAACACTGAAGAGGAAGCATCTGCACTGAGGAGCATGTACCACCGACTCAAGGTATCAGAGCATGCAGTTGTCCTGTGGTCAAGCCTGTGGTGTGTTTGTTACATGGCTTTGCAAGGAATTGAATAAGTAGAATAATTAGCCAGAGGAAGCAGTAAAGAGACATGCAGAATAGACACCAGAAGTGGTTGAAGAGAGGGAACAAGATGGAAGCCTTCCATAGACATCCTCTGAAAAACTCCATCCAGCAGGAGATCAAAGCAGATGCTGAGACTCATAGCCAGACTTAGAGCAGAGTACAGGGAGTCTTGTAGATGAGTGGGGGAATAAGAGCTCCACAAGAACACCAACAGAGCCAACAAATCTGGGCCTGGGGTGGGGGTTGGGGTGGGGGTTGGGGTGGGGGTTGGGGTGGGGGTTGGGGTGGGGGCGGCAGAGGTTGATGCACCCACCAAGGACCATGCATGAAGAGGACCCAGGCCCCTGCTCAGATGTAGCTGACAGGCAGCTCAGTCTCCATGTGACTCCTAGGTGGATTTTTATAATCGCCATGCCTTTGATCTTTTATCTCTGGGTTGGTTCATCTGTTTGGCACCTTCCATATAAATATTGCAATTTTTTTTTGGAAATGGGTCTTGAACTCAGATGTTGTTAAAAAAAAATGAAAATGCCAAACAATCGATTTTTACCAATGAAGACTCAGGAGCCAGATGCTGGGGTGAAAACCTACTAGTTCAGAGAGGCAAAGAAAGCACCCAGCTGATCTTCCTTTGCAGCTCACATCCTGATGGAAAAAACAGAAAAAGCCAAAAAGCCAAAAGCCCAAAGCTAATGGTCCAGGAAGAAAAGGCCTGCTAGCCCACCCAACAGCCCACAAGAAAAAAGCCAAAGAGCTAGAGAGCTAAAAGCTCCTTCTTCTTCTCCACACTGTCTTAAATACACTTCTTTCAAAGTCCCTCCTTTCTGTTGATCACTGCTCTTGACCTAGGGTTAACTTTATTAAATCCTGTGTACAGAAAGTTCTAGGATTAAAGGTGTGTGGTAGGGCTGGCTGAACTACACCATAATCACCTATTTACACTAAAGAGAAAGTTCTTGGATTAAAGGTGTGTATTTGGGCTGAACCACACCAAACAATGAACAGGTTTTTATAGTTCACAGTCTCGGGGTTCACAATGGAATCAAATTTCCTGCAACACTCTGAGGTCATTGGTCTCTCTTCTTCCCTCTCTTTTCTGACCCCAACACATGTAACGGTACCTCAGAACCTCCTGCATATCATCGTTTTGGGTTTTTTTTGTTTGTTTGTTTGTTTGTTTGTTTGTTTTCTTTTTATCCAATCCCAGAAAGACTTGCTGGACATTTCCTAACACTCCTCCCCTCCAAGGCTGCCCTGTGGTGCCTGCGTTAACCTTCTGCAGTAGGCCAGGATGATCTGCTTCACAATATTCTTTTCAGTGCTAATAACCAGATACTTCCCAAATATCCCAACAGGAAGCTAAGCACTGCAAAGGCACAAAAAAAAAAAAAAATCAAGTAGGCCTTCCCATGTCCACCTTCATCACGTTTAAATACAGGGCAGAGAGCTTGGGCTGGAGAGATGGCTCAGAGGTAAAGAACACTGCTTGCTCTTCCAGAAGTCCTGAGTTCAATTCCCAGCCTACCACACGGTGGTTCACAACCATCTATAATAAGATCTGATGCCCTCTTCTGGCGTGCTGAAAACTGTATAATAAATAAATAAATAAATCCTTAAAAGAAAATACAGGGGAGGTGAAATTACCTGGACTTCTGTTTGAGGAAACAACTCTTTGAGTCAAATACTAGTTTTCTCCATTTTGCCAGTCTATTTACATAATAGGCCTAAAAATGTTATTAAAAATGAAGGCAGAGGATCTAGTTGAGTGGTGGCTTCACTAACACACATGGTGCCTTTGGTTCAGTCTCTAACCCGGGAGGAAATAAAACAATATTGTGAAGCCACAAATGTGTGATCTAATTTTCATCACATATACATTTATGCATGTGGTAGTCACTTGCCATGATCAAGAGTGATACGATTGCCTCACAAATGGAAGCAAAATATATGGTACATCCAAAAGGCCATTGGCACAGATGGCCATATGTATGTCACATGAGTGGTTATCGTGTGACAAGACTTTTCCCGGGGAGATGCACCATGAGCATCTATTCATCCCAGACACAGGGAGCCCACAGCAGTCCAAAGCATGGGTAGTACCATCAAAGTCCAACTTGGAGAAGCAGTAAGCTTTATTGGAGTTATAGGAGGAGAAATGACTCAAAGGCATCTGTATCACCAAAGCCCACCCCAGCACAAATAACAGTTCACTGTTCCAAAAAGCTGGACATGCAGAGCACCCTAGTCAACTCCACACACTGGAGAGTGACCTTTCCGAGAAAATCTGCTGGCCTCAGGCATCTTGGCTGGTTTCTGCTTCTTCTGGGCAGCTGCTCGTCTGTCAAAGTCTTCTTTGCAGCTTTGTTTATCTACGAGTGACTCTCAGACGTATCTAATGCTTACTCTTGGAGGGAGAGGCCTACTGAATCTGATCAATTTCTGGCACTTCCTATTTTGAGTAGTTTAGCTTCTGGCTTCAAAGCCCTTTCTTACAGGATGGGATGTTTCAATCTCAGAGGAAACCTGTATGTAACTGTTACAGAAAAACATTCCTAAAAATTACTTACATTTAGTCCTTAAACAAAGCAGTCAGCGTGGTAGAAAATACCTTGGAGCTTCAGGAGCTTAGAAGACAATTGAAAGAAGGGTGGAAGAGCGGCAGTAAGGAATGGTATCAGGAACTCAGTGATTTCCGTGAGGCCTCATGTGACTCATGGTGAAAACTGCTCACAGCTGTGCAGTGCACTGTGAAAAGACAGAAAGCAGAATCAGTAGAGGGGAACAGTACATGAGCCAATCGAGGGGGATCCAGGCTCAGGCCGCCCAGAGTGATTTTAATGGCACCACAAAGAGCATGCCTAACTCCCAGCACTTTTACAATGGTGGCTGCCAAGGAGGCTCCTTAGAGACTTGGTGCCCATAGCTCTTATGGGGACCTGATTATGCCATGCTTTTCCTAACACGTCAACATTCCGTATTCTCAAAAGAAAGCCATGTATTTGGCATGAGCCATGCTGTTTGCACGTATGGCATAGGCACGCTGAGCTGCTCTTATCTGTGGCAATGCTAGGAACCCTCTGAAAATCTAAGTTCGCAGATGCTAGCCCTAGGAAAGCTATGCAAACAGGCCCTTCTAAAGACAGTGTGTTGGGCTGCTCTGTTGAGTGTCTTCTACACATTTCTTCATTTCCTTTCTCAAGCGATGTAGTTAAGATAACTTCCTGCCTAGAAGCATCCTCTACCTTGATGTCATTTTAAATTTGAATTATTTCAGCAAGTGATCCTTTCACACTGTACAGACAGAGATCCCAGCCAGCTAAAGAAAGCAATCTGTAGAGTAGAAAGAACTGGAGCTCATAGGACTGGATCAGGGTTACCACAGACAGCTTCCTTGCAACTGTGCAGTGTTCTTGAGGGGAAGGAGAAGGAATAAGATATAGTTGACAGAATTCTAAGATGGCTCCAGATCTTTGTACCCTTCTGCTCCCGCCCTGCAGAACAGCTTCCCTGTGAATAGGATGGCCATTCCCTTGTTGATGTCACAGTGTAGAGCAGAGGGAGGCTATCTGGGGTAGGCAGGCCTGGGCAAATCTGAGGAACCTTTAGAAGCAGAGAGTTTTTCGCCAGCTGTTCGCAGAGGAATGCTCATCATTGTTCCAGAGAAAGCAGTCCACGAACTGCTATGCTAGGACCCATTCTTGGGAGTCACATGACCAGGAATGACAGTGGCCTCTGGGAAATGATCCCTAGCTGAACAATGAAATGGTGGCCTCAGTCCTACAGATCACAGGACCCTGAGGCCCAAATGAGGATGCACCCAAGCCCATTCTTGGATATTCTGACTTTAGCCCGTTCAGACCCTGACGAGAATCCAGCAAGCTGGACCTGGGCCACTGATCTGCAGGACTGTGAGATAATAAGTGGGCTCTGTTTTAAATAGGCAAGCTGATGTTGATTTATTCCAGCCATGGAAAACAGGCTTGTAGTACAGTAACAACCTACATCCTGCCCGTTGGCTTTCATTTTCCTATGTGACGGCTCTAAGTTAATTTTCCTGATTTCACTGGCTATAACAAAACCTCCTAGGGAAAGTGAAAAGTGATTCACTGACATGCTTAGGCTGTAAATTCACAATGCCTGATCTGAAACATGATCAAATGTAAAATGGCCATACAATATTGAGTGGAATCTGAGCGCGTACGGTCAACACATAGCTAATTAGACATAGGACTGCTGTTCCAAAGCTGCCTGCTTTTCTAATTAAATTTTATAGTTTTGCTGAAGAATTGAAACAAGAAAGTTAAACAGAAAAACCGTGCCCCCAGAGAACTGGATTGAGAAAGCACTAGCCAATTAAATTGTTAATTAAGACCATAACCGAGGCTTAAATCAAGTTATGATGAAAGAGGAGCTGTCTGCAGGTGAGCAAAATTAGAATCCACTTTGTTCCATCTGCAGTTCCTCAACAGTTCTTTGTGCTAAGAAGGAAGAGAAGCGGCTTCATGTGAGGCCACAAAGCATCTACTACGTAATCAGCCAGTCCTCACTGAAGGAAAACAAATGATATCGCTGTTTCCAGATTCCTTATCGAAGGCAGGATAGGTCGGGACAGGACAGGAGATTGTCCTGTTGACAGAAGACTCAACCACGTGTTTTCACACTGGGGCCCAAGCCCAAAGGTATCAATTGGTTAGTCAGTCAGATGTCAAGGACAGCCATACCAAGAATCTTAAGATTTCACTCTGGAAAGCCACACTGCCGTGAGGAACATTACATCTGGGGGGAGGGGGAGGGAAGAGTTGCTGGTGCCATCTGGAGTACAGGTTCCCATTTTTATAGTTCTTCGCTGTTGTGAATGTACAGACATGTAGTCTAATCCTCATGGGTGTGCTGAAAGTCATATAGCTGGGCTGTA